CATCCATATGAGGCTATTGAAAACACCATGGCCTGGGTCAGACGCACCTTAGTCCTCAAGCTGACATCTCTGCTCTTCAATACTTTAAAAAGTTCTCTCTTTTTTTTTTTTTATTTAAGGTTTTTATTTTTTTTAATTTAAGGTTTTTATTGTGGATTGAGTGAAAGTTTACAGGGCATAGCATCAGTTTTATATTCAACAAATCATACACCTTTCATTATAATGATTATAATCCCCTCCATGTACCATCAGTTAACAGTATTTCTCTCTATCAACTTTAGCTTTTTAAAAACAAACAAGCAAAAAACCCACTCAGGCATATATAATAATTTACATCTCCAAAGGACACATTCTGCAAGTCTGCTCCTGGCTGCCAGCTCTCAGTCCCTCTCTTCTTAGTTGATGAATCTAGAGTCCTCAGCCACGCCCCCTCTCCATGTTCCCATCTCTGCCTCCATCTCTGGCATAGCTGCTTCTCTGAATAAGGTCCCGCATTCTGCTTGTGCGCTTCTTTCTTGATGGTCCTCTGTTTCTGGACTTTAAGATTAACCACTGCCCTGTTTTTGTTACAAAACTTCTACCTTTACAATTATGACAGTCACAATTAGTCATGATAACAATTATTCACTATTAAATCTTATGAATCTTATCCCCATCTCTTTTCACCAGACCCATCCAGACAAGATGACAGCTATTCAGTGGGGACTCTTTCTTTCCCCCCATACTCTTAAACTAAACTCCCTCTTGAAACCTTGTAAGCCAGTCACTTTGTGCCTTTATTGCCCCCTCATTTTAGGTAGCCAGTGTCTACGTTGCCCGTCCCTATCTACCCTGTGTACAGAGGGGATAGCATTGATTATTTGATGTGAAGACTCCTTCCCTCTGTTGGTATTTAGAGTAACTACCGCTCTGAGTATAGGTCAAGTTCATCAAATTATAGCAAATTATCCTTGTTTCCTTTATCCCAAAAAAAAAAAAAATTTTTTTTTGATAAAGAAAACAAAAAAAATTTTTTTTTGATAAAGAAAACAAGTATTATTGTTGTTGTCAGGTGCCATCGAGTCGGAACCGACTCATAGTGACCCTATGCACAGCAGAACGAAACAATGTCCAGTCCTGGGCCAACCTCACTACCACTGCCACAGTTGACGCTATCAATGATGCCACCTGGCCGATCCATCTCGTTGGGGGTCTTCCTCTTTTTTTTGACCGTCCATCTTACCCAGCATGACATCCTTCTCCAGCGACTGTTCTCTCCGGACAATGTGTCCAAAGTAGGAGAGACGAAGCTTAGCCATCTTGGCCTCCAAGGAGCACTCTGGTTGTACTTCTTAAATCACTACAATTCGATTAACTTAACCTATACTTATAGATGAAGTAGCTTAAAATACCAATCAAGAGGGAAGGAATCTTTATAGCAAGGATCATTCCTATACCAACCTATAGGGTTGATAGGGATGGGCAACTTAGACATTGGCTACGTAAAATGGGGGGCTGTAAAGGCACGGAGTGACTGGCCTACAAGATTTCAAGAGGGAGTTTAGTTTCAGAGTGTGCGGGGGAAGGTACAGTCCCCACTGAGCGGTTCTCATCCTTTGTAGACGGGTCTGGTGAACAGAGATGGGGATAAGTCTTGTGGTTCAATAGTGAGTAATTGTTATCATGACTAATTGTGATTGTCACAACTGTAAAGGTAGAAGAAGTTTTGTAGCAAAAAGGGGGGAGTGGTTGATCTTACACTCCAGGAACAGAGGACCCTGGGACCACCAAGGGAGAAGAGCAGGAGCAGAGTATGAGACCCTATCCAGAGAAGCAGCGACGCCAGAGGTGGAGACCAAGATGATGACGTGGAGAGATGGAGCAGGTGAGGACTCTAGACTCATGGAGGGAGAGGGAAATGTGTGCTGGTGGCCTGGCTTGCAGGGTGTGCCCTTTGGTTGTTTGAATGATTGTATATTCCTGAGTGTTTTGGTGCACATCCAAAAAAAAAACCCAGAGAGAATAGAAACAAATATTGTTGAATGATGATGCATGGAATGGATTGTAATCATTGAAATGAAACGAAATAGGATAGGATGAGTGTAATACAAATGTTCTCCCATGTAAACTATCACTCAATTCACAAAAAAAAACTTTAAAAAAATGAATGGTGCTATGATTCAATTGTGAATAATTGTTTTCAGGTCTAATGGCAATTGTCATAACTGTAAATGTAAATAGAAGATGAGTAACTAAAATAGGGGAGCAGATAATCTGTCATTCCAGGAACAGAGGACCCTAGGATCATCAAGGAGGAAGAACAAGACAGCAATGAGGGATCCTAACCAGAAAAATGGCAACAACGGACAGGGTGGCAGGAAGACTTGGTGGCATAGAGAGACAGAGCAGCAGAGAACTTTGGGCTCTTGGACTGAGAAAGGCAGTGTGCCTACAGACAAGGAGGCTGGCCGGCAAAATGTGCCCTTTGGATAAGAATAAAAGAAGCATGGTACACACAATATATATTTTCAATGTGGTACGTATACATCAAAACAACAAAAAAGTAGAGATAACTATTGTTAGCAGATATACTGCCTGGAGGGGATTGGAATCATTACAGTGATTTGCTGAATGTACAACTGGTGATCTGCCCTGTAAGCCTTTACTCACTCACTCTTTCAATTCACAATAAAAGCTTTGACATCAATAAATGGTGTGCTCAGGACCCTAGTTTCAGGGGACACCATTGTCAATTGGCATAAGCTAGTCCACAAAGACCATGTTCTACCTCCTACGTGGGTGAGTAGCATCTGGGATGTTGAAAGCTCCTGAGTGGCTGTCTAAGGGGCAGCTATTGGTCTCTCCATGTGCAGAAAAAAGAAGAGTGATGAGAATTAAAGAGACTTGGGATCAATTAGTCCAGTGGACTAATGGAACATGTGAACATCATTCTCCATGACTCTGAGATCAGAAGATGTAGATGGTACTCAGCTACCACTGCCAGATACTCTGAAAGGGATCATGCTAGAGGGCCCCAGAGGAGTGGGAGAAAATGTGCAACAAAAGTCAAAATTATTTTTTAAAGAAAAAGATTTGCTGGTTAGAAAGCTAATAGAAGACCCTGAGACTATGACCCTCAACCACCCTTCAGGTCTGGGACTGAACTCACCCATGTAGTCCAATTTTCAGCCAAGCAGCAGATAGTTTTATAAGAGGAGCACACAACATTAGTAAGGTCTGCACACCATGGAATGTTCAATCACCCAAAAGCAAAAGACAACATTTTCCCAAGGACAAAGTTGAGAAGTGATGGGAAGGTGGGTGGAATGGAAACAGGAACCGCAGGCAGGAGGCAGGGTAAGTGTTGGTGCATGGAGGGGATTGTAATCACTGAGATGAAACAAAGTGTATGAGTTGTTGAATGTAAAGTTGATGATCCTGTCTGCAAACCTTCACTCGATTCACAATAAAAAGTTTAAAAAAAAAAAAAAAGTGTGGTTTTTGAAAGCTGTGTCACCTAAGACCCACTCAGACCCAGCTCTTAGGTTAATAAAATTGTTTCTGTTACGTAAACGTCACTCATGGTGACCCCACATATGCAGAGCCGATTGCGCCCACAGGGTTTTTAATGGCTGGTGTTTTGCAAGTGGAGCATCAGATCAGGTCTTCTCCTGAACCGTCTCTGGGTGGACTTGAACCTCCATCCTTTAGGTTAGTTTGTGTTACTCAGTGCCATCGAGTTGGTTCCCATTCATAGAGACCTTGCATAGGGTTTCTGAGGAGCGACTGGTGGGTTTGAACTACGGACCTTGTGGTTAGCAGTCCAGTGCTTATCACACAGCGCCAGTAGCAGAGACCATCCATTAACTGCAGGTTCCACTTGAGAAAGGCAAGGACTCAAAACGGTTCTCACCAGCCTCTCATCAGGGGCTTCCAGGTATGAGCTGATGGACAGGCAGTGTCCAGGGGCCCAGGCTGGAGGAAGAGTGTGCAGAGAAACACGCTAAAGACAGCTGGAGCTCACCAGAAATCTCTGGGCCTTTCCATGGCTGCTCAGATAAACATGGTGGAAGGCAGCAGGTGTTAGTCAGTGTGATGGATAAATCACAGACCCAGAAGTCAGGTCCTGCAACTCAAAATTCACCCAAAGGCCCGAAGTCCCAGCAGATGGGAGTCAGCTGCCCTCCCAGACCAGAGACTTAGGCCAGCGGAGCTGGAAACGCTCCCAGAAGTCATGTGATCCAGTGTCTGCTTCACACCTGGGAAAGGTCCAAGAGTAAAATCAAGTACCTGTCAAAGCCAAGACCTGAAACACAGGTCCAAGAGTCACCGGCTTCTACCGGATTGTGCGCCTTCACAAACAGGAATGAAGGGGAGGGAGGTAGCAGCCCACCTTGATCCTGGGGCTGCAAGCACTTGGGCTTTGCTCCCACCTCACATAAATCCTGCCACATCCCCAGCCCCAGATCCGAACGACACTCACCATCGACAAATACAACCACTCACCTTGGAAACTCAGTTCGAACTCCTCTGAACCTGCCTTAAATTGCACAATTCCCCTTGGAAGCAAAAGAAACAGGGACTCAATGTATGAAGAAGTGATGTTGGCAATCTGCTGGTGATTGTTCTGTTTTAAAAAGAGGAAGTGAAGACTTCACATCAGGCTTTTAAGTGACGTTGCCATTTTATCTTACATCATTTTCCTTCTGGCATGGAATCTAAACATGGATACATCTTGCCTCCCACACCAGGATAAAGCCACAGCATGATCTTTGTAACCTACTCCCCAATGGTGCTATCTACACGCAGGAACTGACCTTATGCTTGATGGTAAAGCTCTTTACAACACCTCTGCCACCAACCACCAACCACAAACATGAAGTAAATGCGCTGAGCCATTTGTATGCCCCTCTGTGATCACAGGCATTGCACTAGCTACGTAACAGAACCCAGTGTTCTTCTCTTTCACAGTGAGGCATCGGAGGCTGTTTTAGCCGGACACGAGATGAGAAAACATTGTGTGGAGCTGTGAGCCGAGGGCTGAATTGGCAGCAGGTAATACCAACAATTATTTCAAACTTATCATTTCTGTTTCCACAGGCACTTCATAGGACCACTGTGACATCATCCTTGACTTGAACAGAAGGGCAGTATGGAAAGGAACTAGGCACAGCTCGGCATTCCAGGAGTGTCTCCGTGTTCAGCAAAACCCCAGTTCTACCCAGAAGTCCACAGCCAGCCACAGAAGGAAGGGGTCTGAGGCCCTAGCACATGGCCAAAGCTCAGCTCTGCTATAATCTAGTGTGCACATGTCTGGGAAGGATGGTCTGATAAAATGGGTGGTATATGAGGCTAAAACAGGGGACCACTATGCTACTGGAGGACTATTGTAGAGAACCGAAATTCACTAACAGGAAAAAGCTATGCATCTTCTGGGTCACTCAGTGTGGTTTTAAGGAGCTCTAGTGGCATAGTAGTTACTAGTTGGGCTGCTAACCTCAAGGTCACCAGTTGCTCCACGGGAGAAAGATGAGGCTTTCTGCTCCCGTACAGATTTACAGCCTAAGAAACCCTATTCAGCGTAGATGTGAGTCAGAACTGACTCCCCGGCAACCACCCACACCAGTGTGGTTTTACCAGAGGCACAGGGAATCTGGGAACAGGTTGGGATTCCCTCTTGGCTTTGGCAGCTGGGCAGCTCAGCACCCCATTGACAACTCACTGGCTGGTCTCTGTGTAGCAGGCTGGCATGTCTTTGTTGTATTTTTGGCTTCATTTATCATCGCCCATTTGATTTCACATTTTGTGGGAGTGTGTGATTTAGGTGAGTTACCTTCATTTTCATCTCTTGCTTTAATTTTCCCTTGCACTTCACTCCAGTTCCATTACATTAGTAAGACACCCTCACCCCTTTCTTTAGTCTACTAATTGGGGGGGATAAATCAAACCAGATGCTGTCAAGTTGACCTGGGCTCATGATGCTCCGTGTGTGTCAGAGTAGAACTGTGCCCCACAGGGTTATCAGTGGATGATGTTTCATAAGGAGATCCCACTCATGGTGCCCCCATGTGTGTCAGAGTAGAACTGTGCCCACAGGGTTATCAGTGGATGATTTTTCATAAGTAGTTCCCACTCATGGTGCCCTGTGTGTGTCAGAGTAGAACTGTGCCCCACAGGGTTATCAGTGGATGAGGTTTCATAAGTAGATTCCACTCATGGCGCCCCCGTGTGTGTCAGAGTAGAACTGTGCCCACAGGGTTCTCAGTGGATGATTTTTCATAAGAAGATTCCACTCATGGTGCCCCCGTGTGTGTCAGAGTAGAACTGTACTCCACAGGGTTCTCAACGGCTGAGTTTTCAGACATGGATTGCCAGATCTTTCTTCTAAGGAACCTCTTTGTTGTTAACTGCTGGCGAATCGGTTCCAACTCATATCCACTCTGCAAAGGTTTCTGAGGCGTTCAATCTTAACAGGAGCAGAAAGCCTCATGTTTCTCCTGCAGAGCAGTTGGTGAACTTGAACTGCGGACCTTGTGGTTCACAGTCCAGTGCTTATCATATGGAGCCACAGCGCTCCCCAGGCAGCTCTCTAAGTAGGTGGCAACCTTTCAGCTGGCAGCCAAGAGCGTTAACCGTTTGCACCTGCACAACAGCGGAGACCATGGACTGAAATGTACTAGTAGTGATCAGGAAGAGGGAGCCGGAAGAGGCCAGGTTTTATCTTGTATGTAAGGTCGTCTTGAGTCAGGGTCAGCTCATAGCAATTAGCAACAACAATGTGAAGCACAGGAAAAAAGGAGCACAGAGACAGAACCTGTGCATGTCTAACTCCACCCTCCACTCACTAGATGAGCCAGGAACCCAAGTCTCCTGACACCTCATGGCTCTTTCCTGACTGCTACCAGTGGCTTTGGTACATCTACATATAAACTCATCAGGAGTTCGCTCTAGGCTCCAGGAGGGACAGGAGACTGGTACAGGTGACCACAGCAAACAAGTGACTTCAAAAAGGGCACTAAAAATGAATTTTTTTAAAAAAAGCTGGCATTTTTCTAGAACTTTTTGAATGCCACATCACATAAACACCATTCTTCTAATGTGCCCATTCTCCATGGGTAACCATGCAGGCATCACAGATGTGTGTGTGTGGTTTGTGGTAAAATTTACAGAGCAAATTTGTTTCCTCTTCAGCAATTTATGGGCATTTATCTCAGGACAATACACGCTGCCCTCTCTGTGTAATAACACTCTTCCCTCTCCCTCCCTGACTTCCCCATTTCCATTTTCCCTTCTTCGCTGCCCCTTCTTGCCTTCTGAACTTTGTTTTGGGGCAAAGCTTCAAACATTTTTTCGAATAGTTTTTTGACTTGGCCATTTTAAACAAGCACCTCCCATAAGGCAGAGTGGTACTCACCTTCTGCCCATATTTAAGCCAATCGCCAGATCTGCTTCTCCAATACCAAATCCACTTGGTAGTGAACACAGAATCCACCGATTTCTTGCAGGATGAGGGGGTGGAGAGACGTCGCATGGAACTGTTATTGCATGTCATTTTCTGGAAATTGAGTTGATAGCTCCCGACAGGAACGCTGAGCAAGAAACACTTGCAGTTAGCGACATGTTACGCTGTCCTCAGTCTTCTACAATCCTGGTCTCCCACAGCAAGAGTGCCGGATTTTAATTTCAGAGTGGATAGGGACCTTCCTAATTTTTCCTACCACTCCTGGTATCATTGCAAAAAAGATAACCCAAAATGCACAGAGATCAAGTCACTTGACTAAGCCACGAACTTGATAGTATTAGAGAATGGACTGTTCCCTCAAAAAGTATCCCTAAGTCAAGTTGGGCACAGATACCTCTTTCAGAGACGGTAAATTGAGAATTCCAAATATAAAATGCGGACTGGCTCGATGCTAGAAAGTGAATAAGGTGGCCACTGCGTAGCTCGCTCACAGATGGTCAGTTTTTGAGGTTATTTATTGACTGAGCGAACTCTAAAACATCCATTATCCATTATGTTCCAAGTTCCTAGCAGAGTGTGTGCCTGGGCCAGCTTACTCTCAGAGACATGGGTATCTCTAAGGAAACAGGAAACAAGTTGAAAAAACTAGCACCCTCCCTCTGAGCCTTTCCCTAAAGCCAGCACCCTGAAGTGAGACTTCTAGCCTCCTACATGCCAACATTTCTTTGCCTGCTTCGCCCACATGCACAAAAGATCTGAAGAGACGGGTTCTTAATGTCCCCCAGAAACAGCACTCAATGGTCTCCATGTTCAGACAGCAGAGTTCACACACTCCTTGAATGAGATCATCCTGAGGCATAGCTTCTACACTAGTGTTTCTCAACCCACCTGATATGAGAGGAGAAGGGATCTTCTCCCACCAAGAAAGAAGAGCAGGTAGTGAAGTATGTCCTTTGTATCCAGGGTCCCTGTGCTAAGAAACTCTTAGTCCCAGGGGAAGATTGATGACGAGGACCTTTCCCCAGAGAGAAAGTTGCCCCCTGGAGCTGGTGCCCTGAATCTGAACTTCTAGTCCCCTAAACTGTGAGAGAACACATTTCTGTTTATTAAAGCCAAAAGAACATTTTTTTCCCCAAAAAAATCATCAAGGCACTGGAGTCCTGGTATGGTGCTATAGGATAAGCACTGGACTCCTAACCACAAGGGAGAAAAGCAGAGAGCGGGATCCTACCCAGAAAAGCAGTGATGCCTGAGATGGAGGCAGAGACAATGAAATGGAGCGATGGAACAGCTGGGGACTGTAGACAGAGAGGGAGAGGGGCAGTGTGCTGACAACCAGGGGCAGGGTCGCAGGGTATATCCTTTGGTTGGTTGATGATGCGTGGAGGGGATTGTAACCATGGCAATGAAACGATATACGACAGGATGAATGTAAAGCTAATGTTCTCCCATGTAAACTATCACATAATTCACAAAACATTTATAAAAAGGACATGATTTGCCTTTTTCACTTTCATTTCCCTATAACTGTACGGTGAAACTTTCCAGAGGCTATGTGATGTGTGATTTTACAATATGTGGCAAGCAGATGCAGACAGGTAAGGTTGTTTTCTATAACGGTCAACACTGAAGAGATTTATAAGAATACAAAACAAGGTACTTTTTTCTCAATAATTATTCTTATAAATTATTTTTACAAGTGATTTCTAAAAATAAAGTTATTTTTCAGAAAGATACGTCATTTAGGTTAACAAGTAATAGGTTGATTTGGGTAGGGTTTCTTTTTTGTAATCAATCAATAACCATTTGATTTTTTTCTCTCAGTTTTAATTTTTAATGGCATCCGGGAGAGGCACCATAAGGTAAGTACTGGACTGCTGACCAAAAGGTCAGCTATTCGAACCCACCAGTACTGGAAATCCTATGAGTCAGAACCAACTA